CCCACCAACTTCTCAATTGTAACCACTGAGATCCCTCCAAAACTGTTTTGTCTAATGCCTCCCAATCCAAAGGAATAAGTAGTTTAGAAGTTCCCAAATTTTCTAACATACCTAACACAAAAGGAGACTGAGGGCCATATTGAGAGACTGCAGCTTTTAAATCCTTAATAAACTTGTATTCCACTGCAGTATAGTGAACATCAATCATTTGGGGATTTTGAAGGTTTTGTTGTCTAGTTATAGGAAACAAATGTGATGGATCAACAAAACCACCAGGGGGATCTGCAAGATCATCATCATCATGTATCATAGTAAGAGGAAATGAAAAACGTTGTTGTTCTCTACCCACATCAACTCTATACCTTGTCATTGGAAAGAGAGAAGCATTAGAAGGAGCAGTAGGTTTAAGAGAGGACCTTTGCTTTTTTAATTTCATTTTTTCCACAAAGGCCTCCATAATTTCTTTCATACTGGAGTTACTATCTGAACTTTCTGAATCTTCCTCATCACCCAGATCTGATTTAGGAGAATCATCTATAGTATCACAAATATCTTCCTTGGGCACCATTTTGTTAACCTTATTATCAGATTTTGATGTATTAACTTGACTTCCACAAAGAGAGCCCTTTTCATTATTGCTTTCTAATAATTGTAATGCCTGAGTAATAGCACTACACAATGTCCAAATCTTCAAAGAAATAACATTTCCAGCCTGATGCTGCTTACGGAGCTCTTTCTGAACCAATTTCCATTCCCCTAAATTTAACTGGACCTTAGTTTGATCCTGGAACCAGTGACAATGACATTCTATAATTTTAAATAACTCCTTGAGTCTCTTATGACATGTTTTCACACCTATGGAATATAATAATCCTTGTAGTAACTCCACATATTGTTCCTTTAAGGACTGGGAGTTTCCCATGTTAGTTCTGAAAGTCCCCCTAAAGTCTCTTTCAACCTGGGGCGATACCTTTCGATATTTTGTTAGTTCTGGAAGTCCCCCCAAAGTCTCTTTCAACCTGGGGCGATACCTTTCGGTATTTTGTTAGTTCTGAAAGTCCCCCTAAAGTCTCTTTTAACCCGGGGCGATACCCTTTTGATATTTTGTTAGTTCCGAAAGTCCCCCTTTCGTTTTCTTAACCCGGGGTGCTTACCCTTTCAGTGCTGGATCCTGCCGACTATGCCAAATGTTGCAGTAATTCACGTGCAGGTCAGCATGGGAAAAGAAAGAAGAAGCAGAGCAAGCAAAGCAGCAGCAGAAAAAAAGTCCTTTATTGTGTACAAGCAATCTTTTTATAGTATTGTGATCAAAGAAGGCAGCCTTCCAACATCAATAAATCAGGTCTTTCAGCTAATTAAACATAGCACACAGAAGTTTTACTTTCTAATCAGAAGTGACCCGCTTCTCATGGCTAATCTACTCTTGGCCTGGAGTATGCTGAGCTCTGCTCTTGTTAAGAACAGATAATAAAATTTTTTCTCAGCGCCCTCCTAGCCCACTTGGCAGAACATCCCGCTTGCAGGCAAGTCCTCCCAAGGACAGCAGACACCTCGTTTTCAAGCATGTCCGCTGTTACCTATCTATGCCTTGACAGAATATTCCGTTTGCAGGCAAACTCCATCAAGGACAGTAATAGTAATGCACTCACATCTGATTCTCTACATGACTCAGTGGTTAGGTGTCTCTGGCCTTAATTCCTGGTACCAAAACAAGTAAAATAGAATAAAGTAAAAAATTCCCTCAAGTTTGATGAGTAAGTCTAAAACAACTGAAAATCTCATGACATTTTTGTATACAAGGCTTTTCTCCAGAGTGAGTTCTCCCATGATACTCAAAAAGAACCTGGAAAGGTGAAAGTGTTACCACATTGTTTAAAGAGCAGAAAGATTTTCCATGATATGAATCCTTTTAAGTCTTTGGAGGAAACCGTGAAAGATGAATACTGCCCCGCATGGCTTATCCACAAGATTTTGTACAGTATGAGTCCTTTCATACAACTAAACAAAACTGGAACACCTAAGCCCTTTGTATTTCTTACTTGCATACAATTTATTCAATTTGACATGAATCTTTCAAGAAGAATCTTCCCAGTCCTAAGAAAAAAGTGGGAAAATTAGAAGACTTCCCACATTTCTCACATTCTCAGGGCTTCTCTCCATAATTATTTTAATATATGAGAAGGAAAGCAGGGGTGGGATGGGAAGCTGACAGGATGTATCCAATCCTTCACATTCTGAAAATTTGTTTTCCAGTGTGAGTGAAATAGCTTTGAAGGCACCAGGGAAAATGGAATGATTTTCCAAATTTTTTTTCCATTTAAAGCATTATTCAGTTAGATGTGGTGGTGTATGCCCTTAATCCCAGAGACTCAGGGAGCTGAGGCAGAAGGATCACAAATGTGAAGCCAGAATCAGCAACTTAGGAAGACACTAAGGAACTCTGCAAGTTTCTGTCTCAAAATAAAAAGGAAAAGGGATGTGGCTCAGTGGTAGAGGAACACCAGACTAAATCCCCAGTACAATAGATAGATAGATAGATTGATTTATTGATTCGGACATGTGAGTACTGAAAGAACGATAAAGGCTTGCCGTTGGAGAAAATGCCCGTTTATTGAGGAACAGCTCTCATATTTATAGAGCCGGGGTCCGTTTGACAGTTATAACAGTTTAATGGTTGAACGGTTTGACAGTTGTGCATGTGCAAAAGGGTCAGATATTTTGGATGTGTTTTCCTGTCTATGATCCTTCTTTGGTTCTTTTAAAACCAAAGAAGTTTAAATAAGATGTTTTTTGGCTGTTCTTTTGGGGTCTGGAATGGGCCAGATATTGCTTCACTACCGGAGGCTCCTGCCTCTGTCTGTACCATGAAGGCTGGCCTCGCCAGGAGGCTTTTTCCTGCCCTGATCCCATCTCTCGTGGGGCTGGACGTGCCTTGTGTTCTGGTGCATTTTCTCTCATTTCACATGCTGCGTGTTGTTCAGATTGTTTCTGGGTAAGCCTCCGCTGGATCCTCTCTCTCCATCTAAATCCTGTCTCTTCCTGGCTTGGGCTCTTCACTTTGTTAATGTCCTCCCACCCCATCTGATTGGATGGCTAGGCCCCTCTCTCCTTCGTGGACATGTTTGTGTATTTCTCCTGGGAGGAGTGGCAGCTGTTGGATCCAGTGCAAAAGTGCCTGTACTGGAGCGTGATGTTGGAGAACTACTGCAACCTGGTGTCCCTGGGTAGGTGCCACTTCCTGAGGGGAGTGAGTATAGACCTGAGGCCACCTCTCCTACTGCTCTGTGGAACTCTTTGTGTTGTTGGCTTCACTTAGAGCTTTCCTTAGTTAATCTCAGTTTATTGGTTGAATGACCTTTGCCTGAGTGCATGGTTTTCTCTTCACAGGGTATCCACACTCTACACCTGGTGTTGTCTTCAGGTTAGAACAAAGTGCAGAGCTGTGTGTGGTGCAGACCTAGAGCCTGAGTCGAGGCCACCCAGGTCAGTGATGGAGGTGATGTGCTCTCTCCTCTCTCTCAGAGCTGGTATGAGTCTCCATGTGACTCACCCTCTTGTCTATACAGTTTTGGTCTCCTTCACAGTCATGCACTTAATTAATCTCCTTGGCATCCTCCATTCCCTTCTTGCTTGATTGATGATATTCTTGCTTTATTACTCATGTAAGCAAGGGTTCCTCTCCCCCCGTTCACTGGCGTGGCTTCCTCTCTGTCCTTTATATATGCATGCATACTTGTGTGTATATATATATATATATACACACACACACACACAGTTTATGCTTAAATTCAACAGGTGCAGTTCCAACTTTTTCTCTTTGTAAACTGTTGGGGAATCTTCGCCTTCTAGGTTGGCCTTGCTGGTTGCCTTAACATGCTCCTTTCACTCTCTAAGCACATCTAGCATCATATGAAGCCTGTCCCCTTCCCCACTTTAGTCCCCCACCCCATGGAGCCTGTCTTCATGCTGTTCCTTCAAGTCCTCGTTTCCCCTCAGGTCTTCTCTTGCTGTTTCCTCTATGTCTGTGGGGGTCTTTGAGTATTCTTTTTTCTTTTAATTTTTTTTTTTGGTTGTAGATGGACACAATACCTTTATTTTATTTATTTATTTTTGTGTGATGCCAAGGCTCGAACCCAGGGCCTCACACATGCTAGGCAAGCGCTCCACTTCTGAACCACAACTCCAGCCCCTCACCCCCTCCTTTATTCTTGTATGTTGTAACTCTGAGGTGTGTGTGTGTGTGTGTGTGTGTGTGTGTGTGTGTGTGTGTGTGTGTGGTACGTACTGCTGGGGATGGAGCCCAGGACTTTGTGCATGGTAGGCAAGTGCTCCACCACTGAGCAACTCCCCTGCTCATGTGTTGTAACTTTTAAAACCTTCTTAGTCCATTTTGGGTTCATATTAACTATACATAACATTGGGGTTAATTTTGACCAAGTAATAAAAGCATGGAATGTATTTTGTTATAACTCACTGCCAAGTATTTACCCGTTTGTGGGGAGCCACTCTGAATGACCCATGCCTTCTGATCGATCACTACATTTCGTGGTGACTTGGGCATTGTCCCAGCTCAAAAAGTAGAAGGCGTGTCTTCAGATGTAGGTGTCACCCCTGAGGTTGAATTACACTAACCTGTTCCTTGTAACCCTGCCCCTTCTGGCCTTTTTTGGATAGAACTTTCAAAGAACAAGAGTTCCCCCAATAAAAGCCCACTTCTGAACGTGCTCTCTCTCTCTTGCCAGCCTCTCGTGACTTTCTCTTGCTTTCCCATTTGGGAAGCCTGAGGCCGAGAGTGGAGAAGCCATCCAGAAGCTTGTTTTAAGGTAAAATGTGTGTCTGTGTTTTATTTGGTGTACCTAGAAATTCACGCAGGCGACCTTAACTTCAGCTCCCCGTGCAGGTCGGGGGCAGCACCCTTTCCCTCTCCCATTCCCTTTGCTCTAGTCTACTGATTTGTCTGCTCTTTGTTCACAGTTTATTTTTAAATTAGTGTCTTGTGGATGTACATAATGGTGAGTCACTGTAATGTATTCATAAATATGCATAGGAAGGTTAGATCAGATTTATTCCATTGTCCCTTATCTCATTTTTTCTCCCTCTCCCTCAACCCTTCAATCCCCTTCTTCTATGGTAGAGGTTCTTCTATTCCTTCATTACATTTATTCTCAGGTATTTCATATTATTTTTTAGGATATTGTGAATGAGATAGTTTTCCTAATTTCTTTTTCAGTCTTGCTATGTTACTGAGGCTGGTCCTTCTGATCCTCCTGCCTCAGTCTCCCCAGTTGCTGGAGTTATATACATGTGCCACATTGCCTGGCTTCTTGGTGTATGTTATTGAAGCACTTCCTTCAGTAGCACTTCCTTCCTGAGAAAGGGTGCATGTGATAGACCCTTTGAGCCTTGTGTATCTGACAATATTTTCACTCTCAGTATTGTCAGTTGTTCTGTTTTCTGTCTTCAAACACTACTAATGAGAGGTCTGATGCCATTTTAATTTTTGGTCCATTGTATGAAACTTTGTTTTGTTGTTCCTCTGGGAGTCTTTAAGAACTGCTCCTTATCCTAAGTAGCTTCATGATGATGGTCCATGTGATCTAGGTGTTCTGTGGGACATTATTCCCAAAGGGATTATGAGCTAATATGCAACACTCTCTGCCATTTCTACAGAGCTTAGCACAATGTTTGGTACATAAAATGTATACAGTATTTGTTGAATGAAACTAATGCTTAAAGATCCCATACAACTTCTTTATATTATGCTCACTGTTCCTTGAGCGGATTTGTTTTTGTTACATTATACAAAACTTGGAATTCAAAACCATCTTTATTTGTTGTTAGTTTCTTATAGCAGTCGATCTCTCTTTTAAGATCTGATGTCTGAAACTAAAAATCTTATGACATGGTAATTTTAATGCGGTTGTATACCATACCAGGATCATGTTGTTATTTATAACATGACTAATTATTTTCACTTCTAGACAAAATCTGGGAAATTGGTGATCATACAGAGAGGCAACAGGAGAACCAAGGCAAGGTGGGAAGTGTGGCAAAAAGCTTTGGATGTACTTCATTTGGAGAATTGTGTCTTCTCAGTACAAGTTATACTTAAAGACAATGTTCATAACTGTGGCACACATGAAAAGATGTTGAACTATGATATACTAATTATGAACTATGAAACTAACTATGCTGGAAAGAATCCTAATGGGTTTCACATACAGAGGGAATTATTATTTTATTCTAAGCATGGGCAAACTGTTACTGGAATTACATAATATGAAAATAACAAATCTGGGAAAACTGAACAAGACGTCACCACTTATTTGCCAGCAGGTGCATCATGGGGAGAAAGCCTATAGCAGCAGGTCATACCTTGTAGTGCATCAGCAAACTCCTGTGGAAGGGAAAATCTGTGAATGCAGTGGATGTGGGAAGGACTTCAGTAGTAAGGCATACTTCATTGTATGCCATAAAACCTACACAGGAGAGAAACTACATGAAAGCAGTGAATATGGGAAAGCTTTTGATTTCACTCCACAACATGTCACACATCAGAGGATTCGTACAGGCAGCGATCCCCATGAATGTTGTGAATGTGGGAATGTCTGCAAAAGAAAAGACTAGCTCATTCTACACCAGAGAAGTCATGCAGGACAGAAACCCTATGGGTGTGATGAATGTAGGAAAGCTTTTGGTTTTAAGTCACAGCTCATTATACATCAAAGAACTCACACAGGAGAGAAACCATATGAATGCAGTGAATGTAAGAAAGCCTTCAATACAAAGTCAAATCTTATGGTATATCAGAGAACTCACACAGGAGAGAAGCTCTATGTCTGTACTGACTGAGGGAAAGCCTTCACATTCAAGTCACAGCTCATTGTACATAAGGGGTACACACCGGAGTAAAGCCCTGTGGTTGTAATGAGTGTGGGAAAGCCTTCAGTTTGAAGTCACAGCTCATTGCGCATCAGAGAAGTTACACAGGAGTGAAACCATATGGATGTAATGAGTGTGGGAAGGCCTTTAGGAGCAAGTCCTACCTCATTATACACATGCGGACATACACAGGAGAGAAACTCCATGAGCGCAGTAGTTGTGGGAGGGCCTTCAGTTTTAATTCACAACTCATTATACACCAGGGAATTCACACAGGAGAGAGCCCCTATGAATGCCATGAATGTGGGAAAGCCTTCAGTTGGAAATACCAGCTCATTTCACACCAGAGAAGTCATGCAGGACAGAAACCCTATGGGTGTGATGAATGTGGGAGAGCTTTTGGTTTGAAGTCACAGCTCATTGTACATCAAAAAACTCACACACGGGCTGGGGATGTGGCTCAAGCAGTAGCACGCTTGCCTGGCATGCGTGTGGCCTGGGTTCGATCCTCAGCACCACATACAAACAAAGATGTTGTGTCTGCCAAAAACTAAAAAATAAATATTAAAATTCTCTCTCTCTCTAAAAAAAAATTAAAAAAAAACTCACACAGGAGAGAAACCATATGAATGCAGTGAATGTCAGAAAGCCTTCAATACAAAGTCAAATCTTATGGTACATCAGAGAACTCACACAGGAGAGAAACCCTATATCTGTACTGACTGTGGGAAAGCCTTCACATTCAAGTCACAGTTCATTGTACATTAGATGGTACACACTGGTAAAGCCCTATGGGTGTAATGAGCCTTCAGTTTGAAGTCACAGCTCATTGTGCATCAGAGAAGTCACACAGGAGTGAAACCTTATGTGTGCAATGAATGTAGCAAGGCTTTCAGGAGTAAGTCCTACCTCATTATACACATGCAGACACACACAGGAGAGAAGCCACATGCCTGCACTGAATGTGGGAAGTCCTTTACTTTCCATTCACGGTTAATTTTGCATCATAGAATTCATACAGGAGAAAAACCCTTTGAATGCAGGGAATGTGGGAAAACTTTTAATAGGAAAGACCAGCTCATTGCACATCAGCAAACTCATGCAGGCGAAAAACCCTATGTATGTAGCAAATGTGGGAAAGCCTTCAGCAGCAGGTCATACCTCATTATACATATGCGGCCTCATTCAGGAAAGAAACCATATGCATGTAGTGAATGTGGGAAAGCCTTCATTTGGAAGTCACTACTCCTTGTACATGAGTGAACTCATGTAGGGCAAAACCCTTATAAATGCAATCAGTGTAAGAAGTTCTTCAGTGGGAAATTACAGCTTGTCATACATCAGAGAATGCACATACGAGAGAAACCCTATGTGTGTAGTGAGTGTGATAAAGCCTTCATTAGGCAATCTCAGTTTATTGTACATCAGAGAACTCACTCAGGAGAGAAGCCCTATGGATGCACTGAATGTGGAAAGACCTTCTCTCAGAAGTCAATTCTCAGTGCACACCAGAAGACATATATAGGAGAGAAACCTTGCAAATGCTCTGAGTGTGGGAAAGCCTTTTGTTGGAAGTCACAACTTATTATGCACCAGAGAACTCATGCAGATGAGAAACATATTGATATATTTCATATCAGAAAATTTCTCTCAAAAGTTAATTCACAGGGAATAGCAACAAAATCATATAAAAGAGAAACTTAATTTGAGTCATCTCATTGTATGCCAGAAAACTCATTAAACAGAAATGTTTTCAATGGTTGGCATATGCCAGGAATCCACACAGTAATTACAAAAAGCTGTTCTTTTTAAAAAATATTTTTATTAGTTGTTGATGAAAAAATTTACTTATTTGTATGTGGTGCCGAGAATCAAACCCAGTGCCTCACACTCTACCGCTGAGCCACAATCCCAGCCCTCCAAAAGCTGTTCTTTGTGCTCCAAAATACTAGGAAATACACACAGGATGCTAAAAATTCAGCAAACCCTCTGAATGTTTTCAGCAGCAGATCTTTTATTTTACCTATTTATTTATTTTTTCAAAGAGGTCTCACTCTATTGCCCAGGCTGGTTTCAAGAATCTGGGCTCAAGTGACCCTCCTGCCTCATTCTCTCTAGTAGTGGGGACTATGGGTTCTTGCCACTGTACCTTGCTTCAATCTATACTTGTGGGAAACTGCAAGTTTCCCATGAGTGAGATGAGTGCTGGCAGTTTGTCTTAGTCCATGGTAAAGTTCATGGAGGAAGTTTTGTGAAGAAAATGAATGTGGAATGGACTCTGCTGACATTTATTATTTATTAGTCATTGGGATTTTAAAGAGAAAAATATTAGAACCAGTGAATGGCAGAACTATCAAAATTACAAATGTAGGAGTCAGGAGCCCATACCTTAGAGGACCATGCTATACATTATGGTTTCTGTTTTTTTTTTTTTAAATATTTTTTTACTTGTAGTTGGACATGATATCTTTATTTTATTTATTGTTATGTGGTACTGAGGATCGAACCCAGGGCCTTGCATGTGCTAGGTGAGCGCTCTACTGCTGAGCCATATCCCCAGCCCCATTATGGTTTCTTCATCTAGAAATGGCCAGCTTCTAGTGATGATGATGATGATGTAGGAGTGAAGATTTCTGATTGTATCACATGAGGGAAAGCCTCAGCAGTAAGGTTCACCTCATCAGGTATCAGAATGTTCATTCTAAAATGCCTCTTATTTCATTTAATCTGGAAAAATTTCCTTTAGAAATATTTTTTAAAATATTTTTTTTTAGTTGTAGATGGTCACAATATCTTTATTTATTTTTATGTGGTGCTAAGGATTGAACCTAGTGCCTCACATGTGAGGCAGGTGCTCCACCATTGAGCCACAGTCCCAGCCCCTCCTTTAGAAATAATTTTAAGGGAAATTATTTTGTAGATGATCCAAGTTTTATGAAAATATGGGAGGAAATATTGAACTTTAAATGGTAAACAAATACAATTTTTTAGTGTGTAAATAAATGTAATAATCAGAATTTCACTAAGAAATACATCCTAAGGCCTACAGAAATGATTTAAATATCTTCCTGGGTTACTTCATGTGGCTTTTGTATAGTTGGATGTTTGACTTAGAAATGCCGTGTGTGAAACAGATGGCATATACAGGATTGCTTACCAGAGTTCCTACCCTCTATACCAATATGTTTCTTAGTAAACACAAGTTGGTTTTTGTATAACTATGGCTAATAAAAATGAATTTTTAGCAACACCACAAATACTTCCTGTCATTTTCACCCTTAGTAAGCAGTCCTGGCAGTTAACTTGTTAGTTATGGAAATCAATATGATGCATATTCCATGGGTTGTTATAGCCTGGTTGCTGGCTAGAGCATCTTGATTTCTTTTCTTTTCTTGTTTTTTAGTTGTATATGGACTTATTGCCTTTATTTGTTTTTATGTGGTGCTAGGATCCAGTGCCTCACACATGCCAGGTAAGTGCTCCACCACTGAGCCCCAACTCCAGGCCCCATCTTGATTTCTTTTAAGAGAAGTAACCCTCACAGTGTAGGAGTCATGATGATGTGACTACCATTCAGAGTGCCCTGCATGATAACTAAGGTTGGCTGAAACATTCCATATTTTCAGTAAAATTCTCAAGAACAGAAAACAACCTGAGCTTTTGTTCTGTGGTAGCATCTTGATGTGATTGTTAATTAGTTCCTTCTGTATAGATTTGCCAGAACAGTTTTAATAAGTGTCATTTTTTTACTTAGTCACTTGTGTTTAAGTTGAATTATTTAGTATCCTTTTAATACACTAGGCAAGTTAACCATGAATGTGTGTGTTTTATTGCATAATAACTCAGACTGCTTCAGGAATTGGTGCCAGAGAGTGAAGTTTAGGCAGAAGCTTGCAAGGCTTTGTGGACAGTAGGGAATTGTGGTTTCATGTGGTAGGAGGGAAGGCTTTCATGTTCTGTGGCAGGAACTTGGCACATGGTATAAAGTAAGGAAGCTAACTGTTAGAATCATGCTTACATATGATTCTGTGCTCTGGGGGAAATGAGAAGTTGCTGCTGCTGAAAATTTTCAAACAACAATAACATGGGAAATGATGAGCTCAAAACATCGAGGTGGTGTGTCAAGCCAGGGGCTTTGAGAAGTGGTACAGCTGAGATGTTTGTGTATAGCTGTAGAATCAGGGTGGTGAAAATCAAATCCAGTTGCTTTCACAGAGACACTTTCCTTCAACCTCGGCACATTCTTTATGTGAATGAGCATTGATTGGGAAGAGCAGGATCCTGGCAGATTAGGGCTATCTGTGAAAACTATGAGGATTCAGCACTGTAAATATTTCTGAAACACTCTCCATTTTGTGCTATTTATTTGAGAAGGGAATTGAACTGCTCCCTGAGGGGAGGAAGCTATTGATTTCTGAATGCCCAGTATTTGTGGTGTTCTACTCATTATTCAGAATCCAGTCTCAAAATTTTGGGGTGTAACAGTGGTAGAGTGCTTGCCTAGCACATGTGAGGCACTGGGTTTGATCCTTACTACCACATAAAAAATAAAAAAACAAAGATGTTTAAGAAAAAAGATATCTGGGGTGGAGACAGATGATTGACAGAGAGAAACCTATGTAAAGAGTTGCAAATATTTACTAAAGTCTATATATCCTAATCTGGTAAACTGTAAAAGTGTATTTTGTCATTGATGTACCAAATAAGAACAAGCTCCTAAGAGAAAGTGCAAATTCAGGTAACTACCAACTAGGCTTAGGTTTAAGTTTGCCATCTTATCTAGTGACCTCAGCACATAGAAGGCAGAAGTGTTACAGAGTTAAGGATAAATGTTCTTAAATGAAAAATTTTTCAGATGATTGAAACTTGACAGGAATGAAGCTTTCATTTATGAGCAGTAAGAAGTCCTGGATCTGTCACCAGTAAACCAATAATTCCACCACTGGCTTGTACATTTAGTAAGTCCCTCTATCGCTCCCCAGCACAGTAAATACAAAGGTTCTAGAAGCTTCAGGAATAGTTAATAATTGTATGGGTGTTTGTGTGTGTGTGGGGAAGCCAAGGAGAGATCATTTCAACAGTTTACAAACTGCCATCAAATAGACATTTGGGAGAGAAATTACTTGCAAATAATATTTGTGAATATGGACTTATTCTCAGGCTGGGGATATAGCTCACTTGGTAGAAGACTCACCTGGCAAGTGTGAGACCCTGGCTTCAATCCCCTTTTCCTCCCCCCATCCTAATGGTATTATAGCTAATGAATGTATACCTGGCCAAAAATAAAAATAAAAAAAAGACATACTAGGGCTGGGGGTGTGGATCAGTGGTAGAGCACTTGCCTAGCATATGTGAGGCACTAGGTTCAATTCTCAGCACCACATAAAAATAAATAAAACAAAAGTATTGTGTCCATCTACAGCTAAAAAAGTAAATAAGACATACTAGGTTTAACAGACTTCTAATGGTGAGCTTAATCTCCTTTCATGCCCACAGATCACTCTACTCACAATGGCAATGTGCTCTAAACTGCATGTCTCCACTGTCCTTGAAGCTAAATGTGACCATGCTTCTAAACTAGTTACTAGTTCTGACTAATAAAGTGGAAATAGAAATTGTTGAGAAGATGCAATGGAAAGTTCCCCTAGAAGAGAAAGAGCTGGGGAGAGCCCCGGTGTCTTAACCTTTCCTCTTTTCTATTTGCAACACCTGATAGAGAGGAGCCATCTCGAAACCCAAATTTGTCTTGAGGGAAACTGAGTCAAATGTACAGCAGGAAAAGGCTGCCTCTGGGAACTAGGGAGGTCTTTTACACATAAGAAATTTACTGCCCATTTCAGTCACCTTTCTTGTGAGGATTGTACTTGGAAGACAGTTGTATGTTTGGAAAGTTTACAGTTAGAAGTCTTTTAATGTAATTAACCACACTACTATTTTTTTATGGCATTGGGGAAGGCAAAAGTCTATCAAAAAGAATGCAAGTATGTTAACCATAAAGGAAGTACAATAAATAGATTTTGTTAAAATAAAGAAATATGGGCTGGGGTTGTGGTTCAGTGGCAGAGCATTCACCTGACACACGTGAGGAACTGGGTTCGATCCTCAGCACCACATAAAAAATGAATAAAATAGAGGTATTGTGT